TGACCTAGACAGACTGAAAGTCCAACAAATGGCTGCTAAAGTTCAACCTGAGTAAATGCAAAGCAATGAAACTAGGCGGTGGAACCAGGAGGCCAGACACAGGATACAGAATAGGAGATGAAGTACTTCATGAAACGAACAGAGAGAAAGATCTAGGAGTTGATATCACACCAAACCTGTCTCCTGACGCCCACATCAAAAGAATTACGTCTGCGGTATACTCGAGGCTGGCTAACATCAGAACATTCTTCAGGAACCTGTGTAAGGAATCATTCAGAATCTTGTTTACCACATATGTACGACCAATCCTGGAGTATACGGCCCCAACATGGAGCCCTTACCTTGTCAAGCACAAGATGAAGCTGGAAAAAGTTCAGAGGTATGCCACTGGACTAGTCCCGGAACTAAGAGGCATGAGTTACGAGGAAAGGCTGCGAGAAATGCACCTTGCGACACTGGAAGACAGAAGAGTAAGGCGAGACATGATCACTACCTACAAAATCTTCAGGGGAATTGACAGGCTAGATAAAGATAAACTGTTTAACACGGGTGGTACGCGAACAAGGGGACACAGGTGGAAACTGAGTACCCAAATGAATCACAGGGACGTTAGAAAAAACTTTTTCAGTGTCAGAGTTGTTAACAGGTGGAATGCATTAGGCAGAGATGTGGTGGAGGCTAACTCCATACACTGTTTTAAATGTAGATATGACAGAGCCCAATAGGCTCAGGAATCTGTAAACCAGTTGATTGACAGTTGAGAGGCGGGACCAAAGAGCAAAAGTTCAACCCCGGCAAGCACAAATAGGTGAGTACAAATAGGTGACTACACACACACACATCCACTGGAAGCAGCCCGTTCCAGCTGTCTAACTCCCAGACACCTATTTACTGGAAGCTAAACAGAATCACCAGGGTGCAAGAAACTCTGATTCTTTGTTTCTACCTCGGCCGGGGATCGAACCCGGGGCCTTAGGACTACAGGCCTGGGTTTATCTATACAATAAAGTCAACCTTGGGTCGAGAACGATCTGGCAGCGTTGCCATGATCATTCTTGTAAACATTTAAACTCTTTAATAAATATAGTCCTTGAAAACATGATTGTAAACAGTTTAATATATATAAACTAAGAAAGCATGATTGTAAACTGTTTAATATAGACTTAGAAAGCATAATTGTACACTGTTTAATATAGATTTAAAAAGCATAATTGTAAACTAATTAATAAATATTTACAAATAAAATTATGATTGTAAACTGTTTAATAGACTTAGACAGCATATTTGTAAAATGGTTTAATAAATATTAATTTGGGAAGCATGATTGTAAACTGTTTAATGAATACAGACTTAGAAAGCATGATTGATAAAATACATGCATGTCTCGTAAATGGATATGTAAATGCTTAGTTTACCTGAATTTAACTGAAAACCACCAACTCTACTGGCCTTGACGGTGACAAGAAGTCGGTTGTTTGTCAAAGATCCCACCATTATTCTTGAGGATATATTTAACTGATATTTAAGCCGGAGTATTGTTTTGGTATTTACGGTTGAGGTGGGTAGGTGGTTCCATGGGTTCATAGGCCAATGCCTAGGGGTGTGAACTGGTTTTTCTAATGTGTCTGTTAGTCTATGAGTTTGTTCGAGTGTGTGGGTCTGTTAGTCTGATGGAGGGTGTGGGTCTGTTATTCTGTTCGAGTGTGTGGGTCTGTTAGTTTGTTCGAGTGTGTGGGTCTGTTAGTCTACTCGTGTCGGAAATCCGACACACATAATAACATAGTATCCCCTTAGAGATAGAGAATGGGTGATTCCGTGACGTCATCAACGACGCCGCCCGAAGCCTGGAGAGGAACCAGGCTTACGCTCCTGACTCAAAGAGACAGGTGTTCCAGTAACAACGTACCGGGCGACAGACTCAGTGGTCTCAGCAGGAGAAGAGGAACCGGAGCGAACAACACGAAGATTGCTGGGAGGATGATGGACATCAGCCTGGACAGACAGGCGGCATGGAGGGTCAAGAGACTGGGGAAAGGGTTGGGAAGAAAGAGTGAGGGGGGAGATGGGAAAGAAGAGATAGAAGACATGGTGGACTGGGCAGGAAGGCGGGAAACTCCAGGTGGAGAACCAGGAGGGAGACCTTTCGGGACATGACGCAAAGGAATAGGGGAGGAGGTGGAGGGCGTGTTCGGGTCTAGGGCTTGGAAACGGTTCTTAGTGAGACTGAGGAAGGTGGGACGGACGAGCAGAGGTAGAACGCAACACGCGAGTGTAGGATACACCCGCGAAAGGGGTGAGACAACGAACTTGGCGTCTTGTTTCGGGAAAAGTCAGACGATCACGTTGTTTCAAGTTAAGGACGGTTTCCTCGAGTTTGTAGTGTATACACGAGCGTGAGAAGATAAGGTGGGCCTCACCGCAATTGAAGCAGCGAGTCTGGGAAGAAGTGCATTCGGACTTAGAATGATCATCGTCCCCACACATGGGGCATAGATACACAGTAGTTGTGCACTTAAGGACACCGTGCCCAAACTTCCAACACTTATTGCAAAGTCTAGGAAAGGGAATGTACTCCTGAACGGAGCATCTGGCACCTGCAAGAATAATTGAGGGCGGACGGGTCCTACTATTAAAGGTGATTTTTACAACTCGAAGGGGCTGACAACGACGACCACGAGGGGGTCGAGAAAACGTGTCCACAAGGAGGACAGAATGGCCTTGGGTTTCGTGGATATGTATAAGGTCCCTAACACCAGTTGCAACATGGTGCGGGAGGAGAACAGTGCCAACACTGGCATTTAACCTAGCGTTTTTGGAGACCCGAACAGGGGTCTCTCCAATGCAGGACAAAGCGGCTAAGCGAGTAGCTGCATCCTGAGGAGCAGCAGCAACGACATGCGTACTGTAATTGGTGGGGTTAAAAGTAACAGAGGCATCTACTGAATCAACAAGGTGTTTATGGAGGGAGAAATCGTCAGGAGGAGTAGAATCCAGATGGTGGAGATCAAAGTATTTAGTCCACGTAGCGGGACCAAACAAGGCGTTGTAAGTACTAGTATGGGAAGGGATCGTGCGAGTGCGGCCGTGGCGGGGACGACGTTGAGAACCCCCAGCGTAAGAGGGGGGTAAAAGGAGCAGTAGTCACAATGAGAGACGGAGCCGTGCCAGGAGACGAGGTGGTCACAACTGGTGGCTGGGAACTCAACCCTACCGCAGAGGAGGGAGGGGAGCTGAGGGGAGTAGTCAGGAGGATCAAAGGAGGAGCAAGGTCGGGGCCCAATGCAGCGGGGGCTACAGGGTCTGGTCTTCCAACACAATCCGACTCGGGGGCTTGGTCGCCCACCCCACGAGCCTAAAAAGGTACAAGGGAAACATTATCTGCCATAGAAATGAGGAAAGGCTTTCATTCACGAATGTGCCTCCACACCCACCATGAAGCCACAAATAGAGGCAGGACACCCAACAAGAACTTATCGCCGATCATGCCGGGGCCTCCTAGGGGTGCTTCGTGAGTATACGCCCGACAAACGCCACCTTAAAAACAGTCAGTCCGTCGAGATCGGGTTCAGTGACGAAAGGAGGATTGACAATAAAAGGTTCCCCTCGCTCTCGACGTCGGGTACTACAGTTCTACGGGTGCAAGAGTATGCCTGCCCAAGCACCCGAGCGTCAAGATAGAAAAAGTCCAAAAGAATAACCAAAACAAGCAAAAGGTCGGCAGGAAACGACAAGCAGATAAAAGAAGAGGGGGAGAAAAACGAAACATAAGGAAAAGGAAAAGCGATCGAGCACAATTGGAGAGGACAGCAGCAGGAGCATAAGGCCACAAAAGGACAGAAGACTGTCCCACGGAGCATCACACTCCGGCAGCCGACCACCAAGCCCCCCTTCCCCCCATGGTGCCTACATGCCGGATGGGGAGGGGGGTGTAGGTCTGTCAGTCTGTTCAAGGGTGAGGGTCTGTTAGTCTGTTCGAAGGTGTGGATCTGTTATTATGTTCGAGGGTGTAGGTCTGTTAGTCTGTTCGAGGTTGTGGGTCTGTTAGTCTGTTCGAGGGTGTGGGTCTGTTAGTCTGTTTGAGTGTGTGGGTCTGCTAGCTTATGACCTTTTTTTTTTTACTTCTTAATTTCTTAAGTCTTATTTATTACAAATTTCTTACCTTCTTACCTTTTTAGCATCATGCTTTTTAACTTTTTCCTACTTATTAAGACTTATTAAGACTTTTCCTACTTATTAAGTCTGTTTGTATGTGCCACAGTCCTTCCATCTGGTGTTGCCCAGGCTCCTGAGCGACGCACACGTCGCTGGTGACTATGACCGAAGGGAAGAACACTGCACTCAGATAATATCAGATTTTCCAGAACAAAATATTAATTGGATATCATATAATATTTAATGATGTGGCAGAAACAGTCTCAAGTAACTTCGTGGTTCATCCTCACATAAAAGACTTTGACGGTATTAACAATCTTCATCAAATTATTTCAGGATAACATTAGAAACCAGCGACATCTGTATTGTTTCAAGAGTACATTAGACATTCATATTAGTAAGTTCGGAAAATATAAATAGAAGAAATCTCAAAAAACTAATATGCTAATCTCCGTCAGTTTGTGGGCCACTCCAGAACGTGAAAGTGATAACAACGCACAAAGTAATCACATAAAAGGGATGTTAATGTGATTTCTCTGTGCATTTGAAGAAAGGCGCTGGGGTGGAACTCCAATACCATCGCCAAACGGTATGGGGGGCAATGCGTGTGAAACTATGATTTGTTACCAGAAGATTCCTCAGGAAACCTAGAGGATTCAGTCGAATCCCAGGTTACATTTCTTTTAACATATCGTGGTTTAAGACGTGTATTTTGGAGCGCCCAGTGCACAACTTCGAATTCTTCTCATGGTTCCTACTATTTTTCTCATTGAAAACAACAATATAGTCTCCCATAAGTCGTGGGCCGTCCAGGAACGTGGCAGTAATAGCAACATTGTCTCCTTCAGGTCGTGGGCCGCCAGAGAACCTGGCAGTGGTAGAAGTACTGATCAACGCTCTCAATGTGTCATGGGACCCGCCAGGGGAGGTACCTACTCACTATAAGGTAGAAGCTGGACCCAATAAGGAAGATACCCACGATACCTTCTTCTTTATAAAAGGACTGCAACCTTGTACACATTATAGTATAAACGTGACCTCTGTATACGAAGATACCGGTGAGACCTACCCTGCTTCTACGGACGGCACAACAGACATTTCAGGTAATACCAGCGGTGCTCTAGTGCCAGAAATTCCCTTGAGAGTTCTTTATTGCTCTTTAGTTTGAATAAAATGCATTTAACAATTTTTGTATTTTAATTATATATGTTCCTCATAATGTTTAACAAATATTATCCAAACAGCAACCCCGTCCACAACAAATGTTAATTCCAACCAGCGGCCGACGCCAAGGCGCATTCATAAAGCTTAACAGGTTGTTCCATCAGAATAGACTTTTTCCCCAAAATAATATTATATTATTAAATATTAATATACTGTGCAAATTCAGACATAGGTTAGGTTCTGTTGGCGATTATATGTATTAGCTGATTCAAACCTCCAGCCTCAGCAATAAGTAAAATACTGACGTAGATGGATGAATCTTCCATACAGTATAATAAGAAACTTTTGAATGTAAATTAATATTAGAATACAGTATGGGTTAATGTACAGTTTGGTCTAGGTTAGGTTAGGTCTTCGTAAGGTTTGGTAAAGTTTTTTTGTTTACGGTGATTAGGGAGTGTTTACTCAACTGGGTGATTGTGCAACTCGAACTTCGTGCTGTTGAAAATAAAAAACGGTTTACACACGACTCACAACTGATGACGTCCGAGCACTTCTAGAACAAGTGCTTTGCTGACGACTTTTGTTCGAACTATAATGCTGTAAATGCTCAGCCCGTCCTCCAAAGACTCAAAACTGATTCCATTCACCCGCCAAACCTCCTGTTTATGAGTGAAAAACGCTTTACACACGACTCACAACTGATTTCGTTCCAGTACTTCCAGAACAAGTGCTTCAGTGAAGAATTTTCTTCAAACCACAATGCAGTCAATGCTTCACCCACGTACTACAAATACATATAATCGCCAACTGAACCTAACACCTAACCTAACCTATGCCTATATATGCACAATATGTTATTATAATATAAATTTATATTTGAGAAAATTCCCGTTTTGAAAGAACAGAATGTTAAAATTGATGAATGTATCTTTGGGGTCGACCGCTGGATGTAACGGACTTGATTTGTGTACATGATGGTTGATGAGGACGGGCTGCCAAATAGAGAATAAATCTATCGTTTCAAATAAGAAGTTCTGTCTCGGCTTCCAACCTTCAATACACAAGATATACCATAAATTTTTTTATCGTGGTTGGTCGCCGGATTGACTCTAACCCTTTTCCCACAGTACCACCGGCACCACCGAGCTGTTGGTTTGACAACATTGATACCACCTCGTTAACTGCCTACTGGAGTGATCCACCCATTCAGTGTCCAGTTACCAACCACAACATGAGCTGGACGTCACACGTCCTCTGGAATGACGAGGAAGACACCTCAGGTGCCGTCCGAGTCCCAGGAGACCACTACACACTAAGAAACCTCAAACCCTACACAAATTTGACGGTCAGTGTGGCAGCCGCCACTGACGCAGGTTATGGCCCTTCCACATCTTGCTGGAATGTGACGCTTCAGGACAGTGAGTTACCTTTATATTATAAGTTAATATTGTTGTTGTTGTTGTGCTTGTAGGGTACCAAGGGTTACAGGAGGCTTACCATAGGTTATACGAGACTTACCAAGTGTTACACAAGACTTACCAAGTGTTAAACGAGACTTAACATTGGTTACTCGAGACTCACCATGGGTTTCACGAGACTTACCATGGGTTACACGAGACTTACCAATATGTTACATATGTTACATATTTTTACTTAGTAACATATGTAACTCAGTAAATCAATGCATAGATAATTACTTAAGAATATTGAACAATATCAATATTAAGATCACCGCATCAATCATTCTTATTCTTCCACAGAGTCTCTGAATGTCAAATTGTGCCTCACTAGGCTACCGTTCTCTTCGTCATCAATCATATTAGGCATGGGTCACATACAGTCATCATTAAACATAGACTTTGACATGATACTCAATACAAACGAGTAAACACTCTCACCTCCATTCACTGCGTGAACTTCTTACACAAACAAACAAATATGTTTGACGATCAACTGTGGATTAATCCTCCGTATAATCGATCAAACTTCTCAGTCATTTTATCCTACAAACCAACTGTAGAACCATCAGTCCGTTGGTCCTCTAAAGCAGGGGTCTCCAAACTTTTCAATGTAAGGGCCACATTATATATTTCCCATATTTATGCGGGCCGGAGGAATAAAAAATGAAATTGCTATTTTGTATAACTAAGATAACGGCATTGTCAAAGTACAGAGAAAAGAATATTGTACAGTGTTTGTGCTCCCTAAAACGGAAGCAGCGAAGCCCCACTCGCCCTCCATCCCCACAATATACAGTTATACACAACTGATTGGTTGTAATGCACAACACATACCTACCAGTATTAGTATCTGTGCGTCACACTATCGAGAGAGAGGAAAACTGACTCGGGTTGAGCGCCACCAGTCAGCAGCCCCAGCTTTGAATAATTCTGCGATGCCATTCGTACGATAATTATTTTTTCAAGGCCACCACACAGGGATTTGTTTGGAGGGCCGGATGAAATTATGTGGCGGGCCGGATGTGGCCCGCGGGCCATAGTTTGGAGACCCCTGCTCTAAAGGATGTGAACTCCTACAACTACCATGCACGAACCGCAGAATTACTAGAGCGATGACGCTTGCTTCCTCAAAGTAACGATGGAGCCTTGGGTTTGCCTCTCTCATGTCGACCAAACATTCTTAATGCGACCGTCACTTTCGACTTCTCAATATTCCGACTTGGGTGTTGGTACGATTTGGTACCTGTGTCAATACACAGGTACCAACTCTGCTCACCTGTCAACAGGTCCTCTCCTGCGATAACCAGACATCTTCTGAGATCTAACACAGTGGACTACCAGGGCATGATCACCTTCCTTGGCTTCAGACCACCCATTTGGTCCCTTATGTCAAGATGAATGCCACAGTCTCCCTCTAAATGCTTACAGCATTGGCCTAAGTCGCAGTTCACGGCAGTCTCGCTACCAAAATTCCAAAAATGTACTCTCTTCTAAGGGGTAGCGAATTGCGTGCTCCCTCCTTGACCCCACATTGACAAGTGACGTCGCAAAGCCTTTGCACACGACACATCACTCCCTTGCTAGTTCCTCATTGGCTAGTGATGACGTCATCGAGCTGCTCCTCCCTTGAGGAATCCCAATAACTTTCGTCATCTTCTCCTGCTCCAGGAACAAAGTTATTCAGTGACACCCCAATGCCTCCACAATGCCGCCTCTGTATCATCCAATAGTATTGTTTACTATGTAAACAATGTTTACCATATTGTTTCCTATATAAACAATACTATAACGTTTTTCTTAATCCTCTGTAGGACCGAGTGAGCAATATCTTCGGGATAGAGGAGGACTAGCAATTTCTAACTTAATTTAAATTAAATTTGGATTTGTACTCATGTAAATATATTATTGAATTTCCTACTTTATCTAGTTATTAGTAAATAATTGTAAACAGCTTAATTGTTTAGTAGGCCTGTGTCCCAGTGTAAACGAGATGTCTCATCTCTGGACCAGCATTAACACTGTGGATTAAATGACTGCTCCTCAAGTCGTCACGGCTGGGAACTGCGCGTGCAGGCAATCTATATAAATAATAACGGAAATGTTCGTTTGTTCAAAATCGCTAATCTCCGAAGATTCTTCACCGATTCCTTTGAAATTTTCACACAATGTTTCATTCGCATCCGAACAGGTTTTTATATACATATTATATTGATGTCACGTCTGTGACGGAAAAAAACATTTTTTTTAACTGTTTTTTCATGTGTTTTTCATGTGAGAGAAATCGTCGAAACCTCTACCAATTGCTTTGAAATTTTGACACGACGTTGCATTCAAACAGGCGTGTGTTTCTATATACTTACTATGTACATGCCTTACCTGTGACCGGAGAAAACATGCTTTTTTTGAAAAACATCGCCATCTGTTGGATGTATGAACAACACCCGATGTAATCTCCCAAAGTTCTTCACCAATTGCTTTGAAACTCTGACACAACGTTCCATTCAATTATGCGCGTATTTTTATCTACCAACTATATAGATGCTACCTTTGTGAAAGGTAAAAACATGCGTTTTTGAAAAACAGCGCCATCTGTTGCACATAACAGCAACATGCACGCTATACTAAATATGTCACGAATTCCATTTGAATGTTTCCGATTGCATTGATAACTTTTTTCATAGATTTCGATTTAATTAATTTTTTGTTGAATTATTTTGTGTGACATTATGTTGGAATTGAGCTGTGTTGTTTACCATACTGTTCATTTCATAAGTATAAGTATAGATGCCACACCTGTTATAGGTAAAACTATGCATTTCTTGAAAAACAGTGCCATCTGATGCATATAAGAGCAACACACATGCTATACTAAATATGTTACAATTCCATTTCAATGTTTCTGATTGCATTGATCAATTGAATTTTCATAGATTTTGATTTATTTTCACTTTGATTTAATTATTTTGTGTGAATTGCATTGGAATTGAGCTCTGTTTTTACCAAACCATTCATTTCGTGAATATAGTTTATTTTTTTTACTTTTTCATATTTTCATTTTATTTTTTAACTGTTTTTCTTATATTTCATTGATGGGAACATCAGATCACTTGATGTTCCCAATTTTCTGATGGGAACATCAGACCATTTGGGAAGGCATCAGACGAGGGAGTGGGGAATGGTGGGAATGACGAGGGGACCGAAGCAAGAGATGGTGGGGAGGATTAGGGGACAAGGGAGGTGATTATTCCCCACCATTACAAGGTAATGGTAGGGAAGGACGAGGGGACAGGGAAGTTTGGGATGGTGGTGACGAGGGGATGGGGGAATGGAGAATGGTGGGTAGGACAAAGGGAATGGGGAGTAGGGCATGGCGGGAAGGAAGAGGGGATGGGTGAGTGGGGAAGACGAGGGGACGGTGGAGTAGGGAATGGTTTGGAGGCCGAGGAGATGGGTTAGGGGGAAAATGTGGGGGACTGGGGGACAGAGAAGGTTCCAGGGGATAGGAATATATACTAGCAGTACCAGGCCAACACGTGGCCGGGTACAGATAGCATATATATCTATATAAATAAAAATGGAAATGTTCGTTTGTTCAAAATCGCTAATCTCCGAAAGTACTTCACCGATTGCTTTGAAATTTTAACACAACGTTCCATTCGCATCCGAGCAGGTTTTTATATACATACTATATAGATGTCATGACTGTGACAGTAAATAAAAAAGTTTTTTCTGAAAAACTGCGTTTTCATGTGTTTTCATAGGAGGGAAATCTTCTAAACCTCTTTACCGACTGCTTTGAAATTTTGACACAGCGTTGCATTTAAATGGGCGCGTCTTTTTATATATCTACTATATACATGCCTCACCTGTGATAGGAAAAAAACATTCTTTTATTGAAAAAATGCGCCATCTGTTGGACGTAAGGGCGACACACGCTGTAATCTCCGAAAGTTCTTCACCAATTGTTTTGAATTTTTGAAACAACGTTGCATTCGAATAGGTGCATCTTTTTATATACCTACAATATACATGCCACCCCTGTGACAGGTAAAAACATGTGTTTTTTAAAAACAACGCCATCTGTTGCAAATAATGGCAACATGCACGCTATACTAAATATATCACAAATTCCTTTTCAATGTTTCCGATTGCATTGATAAACTTTATTTTCATAGATTTCAATTTATTTTATTTTTTAGTGAATTATTTTGTGTGACATTGTTTTGGAATTGAGCCGTGTTGTTTATCATGCCGTTCATTTCTTAAGGATAAGTATAGATGCCACACCTGTGACTATGCTCTTCTTGAAAAGCAGCGACATCAGTTGCATGTAAGTTGCATGTAAGAGCAACACACATGCTATACTAGATATGTTACAATTCCATTTCAATGTTTCTGATTGCACTGATGAATTGAATTGTCCTAGATTTTGATTTATTTTCATTTTGATTTAATTATTTTGTGTGAATTGCATTGGAATGGAGCTGTGTTGTTTACAAGACAATTCATTTCATTGGAATAGTTTCTTTTTATATTTTTTTCATATTTTGATTTAATTTTTTAACTGTTTTCTTATATTTCAGTGATGGGAACATCAGATTACTGCATGTTCCCAATTTTCTGAAGGGAACATCAGACCATTTGGGAAGGCATCGGACGAGGGAGTGGGGAATGGTGGGGATGATGAGGGGACAGAAGTGAGAGATGGTGCGTTGGACGAGGGGACGGGGGAGTTTGGGATGGTGGGAACGAGGGGATGGGGAAAAGGAGAATGGTGGGGAGGACAAAGGGACTGGGGAGTGGGGCATGGTAAGGAGGACAAAGGGACTGGGGAGTGGGGCATGGTTGGAAGGAAGAGGGGATGGTGGAGTGGGGAATGGTGGGAGGACGAAGGGACGGTGGAGTGGGGAATGGTTAGAGGGCCGAGGAGACAGGCGAGGAGAGAATGGTGGGGAGAA